CGTAAAACGAAGCTAAAAAGAAAAATCGTGGGGAGCATTAATAAGCTGCTTACTAAGACTTGTTCTTCTTCTACTAACAACTTCATGCCCTCAAAATCCTTCATCTCCAATGCCGACAAATCCCCAAACATATAAACTAATGTATAGAAAGCTATGAATCAACTAACAATCACCGACAGTTACCGAAACAATCACTGAACACGATCGTATAGAACAAAAAGTTCTTAAATACCGAAATAATCATTGAACACGATCGTATAGAACAAAAAGTTTTTAAATACTTCACATAGTCCTCTCCTCTCCCTCGCATTCATTCATTAATCTCTCTACATTAGCGAGTAAAAACTCTGTTTCTAGAGTTTTCTTGGACCACAAGAAAGTAATAGTTAACCTAAGAGACAATAGAGAAAGATGACAGAGAAGAATCTTTACGATACAATACTTGCTCGTAGCTTTGGCAAAAACGACCAGAAGAGACTTGGTTATGGAGCTTTCATTGCTTCTCTTCTCTTCGTCTTCACTCTTTGCACTGTCTTTAAACCCTATCTCAGCCCTTTACCAATCGGTAAGTCCCTTCACTGCGTTTTCTAAAACTCCCGAAAACGCAGAAAACAGTCATTAACTAGCGTTTTTGTTTTCTTTCTTTCTTCAGTTGAGTTGCAATTATCAGTGGACGCTGGTCTCAGGATGCTGAGAATAACAGAACCGCAAACGTTAAAGAGCAGCAACAATGCAACCTCTGAAGAAGATGCAGCTGAGAAACTTATTATCCCTACGAATCAAATTAACATCACATCAAATGCAACAATTACTCAGAGCTTAATCAGTTCTGAAGTTCACGAGCTTAGTGTCTTCAACGACACAAACTTGCTCAAGAATCATCTTGATTCGTTTAACAGTACTACTAACACTACAATCTCTAAAGAACAAGTTATTTCAGGTTCACATTCTTAACAATTTTTCTTAATTTGTCATGGTTTAAATCAATTTGTTTGTACGTATGATTCTGAAAATGTTTGTTTTTTTTGTTGGTGAATTTTCAGACCAATTTAAAATGGAGAAACCTATCTGTCACAAGCGAACAAGAACAGAGCTATGCGAAATAACCGGCGACGTAAGAATCAACGGTAAATCCGCGACGGTTCTCGCCGCGATCGAGTTTCCGTTTTCGGGAGATTCCACGTGGCGTATGAGACCTTACGCGAGAAAAGGCGACGTTATGGCGATGAATCGCGTGAGAGAATGGACAGTGAAACTAACACAAAACGCAGACCAATCAGAAAACGCTAATTTCTCGCGTTGCGTTACGAATCACAGCGTTCCAGCGATGCTTTTCTCTCTAGGAGGCTACACGATGAACAACTTCCACGATTTCACCGACGTTTTGATTCCTCTGTACACGACGGCTCGTAGATTCAACGGAGAGGTTCAGTTCCTCGTGACGAACAAGAATCTACCGTGGATCAACAAATTTAAGGAAATCTTGAAGAATCTATCGAATTACGAACTGATTTACATCGACGAAGAAGACGAAACGCACTGTTTCACCAGCGTCGTCGTCGGTCTCAATCGCCACTCAGAGTATTTCAAAGAGCTAACCATCGATCCTTCGAATTCGGAGTATTCAATGTCCGATTTCCGAAAGTTCCTAAGAGACACATACTCGTTAAGAAACGCCGCCGTGGCAACGACACGGCGGAGGAGACCACGGATTCTGATTTTGTCGAGGGGGAGATCGCGAGCTTTTACGAATTCCGGCGAGATCGCGAGATCTGCGAGGGAAATCGGATTCAAAGTCGTGGTGGCGGAGGCGAACACAGGCGTGGCGAGTTTCGCACGAACCGTGAATTCGTGCGACGTGATGCTCGGCGTTCACGGCGCGGGGCTAACGAACATGGTTTTCTTGCCGGAGAAGGCGGTGGTGATTCAGATACTTCCGATCGGTGGATACGAGTGGCTTGCGAAGACGGATTTCGAGGAACCGTCGAAAGGGATGGATCTGAGGTATTTGGAGTACAAAATCGCGGCGGAGGAGAGCACGTTGGTGAAGAAGTACGGACGCGATCACGAGATCGTGAGAGATCCATCGGCGGTTGCGAAACGCGGATGGGAAACGTTTAAATCGGTTTATTTGGTACAGCAGAATGTCAGTATTGATATAAACCGGTTTAAGCCGGTTCTTTTCAAAGCTTTTGAGTTATTGCAGAGGGAATAGGTGTAAAATAATATATTTACTGCATCCGTCCGTATACTGTAAATTCTTGTAGTTGGATCGGAATATTTATCATATAAAATTCTTGTAGTTGGTGTTGTATTTTGCATCCAAATACAGCCTGAGAGAGGTCTATTAGTAGTAAGACCAGCCCATTAGGCGAGATTTGATATATAGGTCCGAATGAATAGGTAGAAGAATATACCGCTAGCTGCGAGTAGGGATGGAGCCTGTAGAATGTAGTGACGGGTTAGTATTAAGCCCAGTACCATTAAGCCCAATATGCCTAGCGAAAGGTCCAGTCGATGAACCCTGCGATTAGGCTGAATGAAACAGTTAACGGAATTACTTACGAGCTGAACACTGAAGAGGAGCTCGCGGATAACAGGTTGAATCAGTCAAGCCGGAGATCTCGGAGCACGTGCTTAAAATCTGGGATCGTGAGGAGAACGTGCTGTGTGAGTATAAGAGCGGTTGAGCCTAATTGACCGTCTATATAAACAGAAGAGAAGGCTTTTTTGAGGCCAAGTCGAATCATAATCACTTTTACCCTAGAAAATCACCTAGAACTAAATACTATGAGCTGCACTCTGCTTTTCTTATTTTCCATCTCATAATTACGTTGTATTAATCTTGGTTCTTTGATCATATTAATACAAATCCATCTCGTTATTCTTAATTTTTATTTATCTAAGATTCATACGAAGATCTAGGCCTTAATTCCCTTTTTTTAGTATCAAATTCTTGGTTGTGGGTTTTCGGATCCACAATATTGGTAGAATTAAAGTACATTTATATGGTTATTAAGAAAACTTACATTCATAGACTTTCGAATAACCAAGACATGTAGCATATTGATGATGAATTGATCTCATGTACTCAAATCACTATTTCGAAATTAATTTGCATGTTGTTGATAAAATGACAAGAAATAACCTTATAG